AAGTTTTATTTAGAGAGTTCAAAATGCTTGCATTTTTTAATGTTACTCAAGTAACCACAAAATATATAAAGAATCCTTTATTTCCCAATTTGAAACAACTGAACAGTATACAACTCTCTGCAGACGCCAACCTAAACGTGTCAGCCAGATGGTTTTTTCCCTAACCCAGTTCAATTAAAATACTTTATGAAGGACCACCCATGGAAAAAAAAATAAGGGAATAAAATAAATACTTACGTGTACTCTAGCTGAGAAAATAATGAATCCCTGGATTTAACAATATAACAAGAGGAAATAGAGGGTGAATTTGATACCTTCATAAGACAGTGACATGCCATAGTCTCGTCCTCATAGATAAATTATATGAACCAGAATATCAGCAAGATACTAAAATGCAGACTGTGGGACACAGAGAAAAGAGAACATATAAAACCTTTGCTTACCTCTGAAATTAAAATTAGACATTCTTTAATCTTGTCTAACTTTAGCCAAGAAGGTGACATTGGTGAGAGACTCAAACACACCAATTACTTGAGCTTGTACAAGTTAGCTGATGTTTCTTCTTTTTTTCCCCATGAAATAGGATATCAGCATAAAAAGAATAGTACCTATATTAAAACTATCATTAACAAAAGTTCCCACTTCTGTGGGTAAGCGAACATTTTTCTTCTTGTAATATGAGTGCCGAATGATGAAGGACACACAGGAATGTAGGACAGAAATTTCCCCCCATCCCCAAATCCAGTCCCTTGTTATTGTGGCAACCACATCCTGTAATTGCTACTATAAACTGAAATGTTCTATGTGGATATTGACTGAAAACTATTAGCTTTCTAGTCTTACATGTCTGCTTGCATAGTCAGAGTGTTAAATAAATACGCGCTATGAAAAAAACCGCCAACTCTTTCAAGAGTGAGAATAATGTAAATTCACTGATCTACTTGCCTTATCTACTGGGGTATGGCTGTTACGTTCTCCACCTGCATTTTGATTGCAAGAATAAATTAACCAACACATTCTGAACAACTGAGGAATGGAGTACTAAACAGATGGAACCTCTGATATTTGGATGATTCATTTCAAAAAGGCATTTGAAGGGCAACCTGTATCATTAACGCATAACATACAAAAATAGCAACTCTAAAGTTGTACAAGGTGACTTGACATATTATTTTTTTCAGAATCCCATATTCTAAACCATTTTACTAACTGTATGCTTCAGAAAATTAGAATACGAAACTTGAAGTTGCACTAAACAAGTAAGTTATAAACTAGCATAAATCATTACACTGGTACAAAATAAACAAACTGCAATAATTTGGAAAGGAAAACACAGTAAAGGTTTTTCTACTACTACTAAAAGAAGATGTGAGCTTTATCAAGGTGATGAAATAGCTTATAAAAATGTTTTGTTGCTTACATTATCCATCCATTGCTGTGGTCAGCAAATAACAAGAGCCTCATACTCATTTATGATGCAAAAACTTCAGAAGCTCCAAAGCCATGACTGTCATGGACCATTTGGATCTCTCAAATTTACAGGACAACATACTCTGTTAATTATTTTATGAGCTCATTAGGAAAGAAAACAAACACATGAAACAAGGCCTCAATCCCCTTTGTACAGACTAGTCTTATATGTGAATTTGCTAATTCATCCCTTAATGCATGAGGCTTCTAACTCACCAGTTGTCTAATTCATGACTCATAATTCATGCATCTAGAAGCAAAATAGTTACCTAGCTGATGATGAGAGTGCTCATCTTTCCTCTGTCATGGCGCAGGCCTTCCCTATATTACGGCAGGAAGCATGAAAGCATCAGCACTCTGGCTGCTGTTGGATATGCCTCTAGGTAAGCTGATGTATTTATGCCTTCCAGCTTAGAAATTTGGTCAACACCATTTCCTTAAGTTAGTGGATTCTGAAGGAACTGCCAGACAATTGACGTGCAAGGATTATGGCTGCAGGAGACAGTAAGCTGCAGGTGATAACTTTTTTGCAGGTGTAATGAACTTTAGCCCTTCCTGTGGGCTGCCTAGGTGCTGCTCTCACCTCAGCTTGATGGCACTGCTCCCAGCACTCGCATCAGGCCTCTGCATGAGCTGTGTGTTAGCTAAAATTTGAGCAGTTGAATAACAGTACACATGGTAGAAAGAAAAACTTGAATGTGCTTTGTGAAACAGGAGATGTGATCAGGTTGTCAGTTTGGAGAGTACCTTTGCAAAACATGTGAATTCTTTTTGATATGTTAAAGATACCAGTTAATATTAAAGTTGCTAAATGTAGAGCTGTAAGAGTTCTATTGTAGAATGTAGAATGTTGAATGCAGTATAGAGAAGCTTCTGTTACAGCATATGTATTTTATCTGGAGGCAGGTCACAAACAAACAGGTGATTCTTCACACAATGTCTAGTTAGGCTGTGGAAATGTGCAATTTTGTGAATACCAGGTTTACAAGGTATTGTAAGGTTATGCACTATGGCCAAGGACCCCAATGGAAAAGTTGTGCAACCTCGTAGAAGAGAAAACTGAAGGCAACTTAATATGTAGAAGTGAAATCTCTGTTCCTCTGAGCTGTCATTTAGAAGGTGAGGGACAATCTGAACAGCTTCTTAGATATGCTTGTCTTGGTCATAATCTGCTGCAACCATCTGTTTTCTGATGGATGAATGGAGAAGGATATTGACCCTTGGTCTGAAACAGGGTTCCAAAACATATTCAACCGAACAATGGAGATATATGTTTACCCACTATATAGGAGAATTATTTCCTCCCAACTGTTTTTCTTTTTTCTTCACCTCCAAAGCTGAAAACAGTGAATGAAATAGAATAGAAAAAATACTGAACTAAATAAGTGGAAGTGACAAAGGAGAGAAAGAAACATGAGGGTCTTTGGGAAAAAGACGAACAGCTGAACAAGTTTCTGGAGAGCTTTGGCTTCACTTCTTGCAGGAAAACATCAAAGGTGGAAAAGGCGAGCTAGATTTAAGACAGTGTAATGGATAATCAGCTGTACCAGAAAGCAAGAATTTCTGTTCATTTTTATATGCATTTTCAATTTTCTTAAGTTTCATATTTTCCATGCTTTTTCTATTAAAAAAAAAAAAATGAACAACAGAGCACAAATTCTGCCAAGTCTGTCTCTTCATGAATCTGTTTGCTACCAAGTAGCTATCAATAAGCAAAAGTCTGAAAAAGAACTGGGAAAATGTGTATAAAATTCTAGCACAATTTATAGGAATTGGTCTTGGAGCTAGAAAATAGGCAATTAGATCCCTGCTTTCTGGAGAGGATGACAGCTAGAGCTCTGCATCCAAACAACTTGGCTGAGGACACTGAGAAGCAGTACCAGAACTCTTGCCAGACTCAAGGTTTGAGACATTCAGAGAGCTGGTGGGTTGATCTTGCATCAATTTGATGAGTAATCGAGAAATGTTGCTTGGCCTGGTTTCTTCGTGGCTCAGAATGCACTTCAGGATGAAAACAATCTCCATTATGGTAATAAAGAAACAAAATCTGAGAAGAAAGGGTACTCACTTGGCAGGCAATAAAAGTAAGGTTTTGTTTATCATAAAATCATTGAATAATTCATGCAGAAAGGGCCCTTTAGAGGTCACTTGGCTGTTCCTCATCACTACCACCAAAGCAGAGCCAACTTCAAATTTGATTCAGCTACAGGGATAGATCACGTTGCACAGGGTTTTCTCTAGCTAAGGAGTGGACATCTCCAAGGATAGGGATGCCATAGCCTCGCAGCTCCCTTATTTGACTAACTTTATGGTGGTTTGCTTTTTTTTCCCATATTGAATTGGAACTCTACGTGTTCCCTGTGTGTTTTTCATCTTAGTGCATCTCTGAGAAGAGTTTGGCTTGATCTTTATGCTCTCCCACTACATAGATGAGGATAGCAGTTTCCCATTTATCTTCCTTCTCCAGCATAAACTAACCAATTTTTCTAGCCTCCCCTCATTTACGCTCCTCCCCTGGAGCATCTCCATGGTGCTCCACTGGACTTCAATTTGTCAATAAATCTCTTGTAGAGGAAAGCCCAAAACGTGATGCTATTCTGCTAGAGAGATAAAAACACTAATGTGCTGGCTGTATTCCTGCTTAGATGGAACAGCATGTGGTTGGTCTTCTTCACCCAGAGGCTGCATGGCAAATCTTCTTGCATTTCTTGTCCCGGAGGACACTTAGATTTTTTTACCTGAAAAAAAAGCTTTTTATTTTGCCATAGCTCAGTAGGTACTCCTACATGGGGCCATTTCGCCCCAAGTGCAGGACTCTGCCTTTGTTGAATTTTGTGAAGTCTTTGTTCACCCATTTCTTCAGACTGTCCAGATCTCTCTGCCTGACAGTCCAGTTGACCACCACTCTCTACTTCAGTTTGATATATAAACAGTGATATAGAGGGATTTTGCTGTATTCTGGGAGGTGTTTTTTTGTTTTGTTTGTTTTGTTTTTCTATTGGAGATTTCCATCTGTTCCCTTCTGCACAGAGGTGCATGATAAAGGCAAAAGTTATTATGTCAGTTAATGGGCTTTTTTTCCTGTTCTTTACAGATTTGTAACCTGTTTCAATAGAATTTGTCTTCTGGGCAAACGTGAAAACAAAAATCAGTTTATTCCCCAAAATGAATGCATTCTGGATGTCCCTGAAGCCATGATTGTTTCAGCTTTTTAAGAGAAGTGGTCTCATTCAAGGAAGGAGGCAACATTTTTCTTTCTTCATTAAAAGCATATTCTGGACAAAGAATATTTGAACAACAGATTTATAATTTCAACAACATTTCACATATAATTTTTGGGAGGAGAGAGTGGGCAAAGACTGAAATAAGATTCCCAACATATTCTAAGAGTAAAAAAATACTGAATTCTCAAGGCATGATGTCACAGTTAGCAATAGTTTAATAAACAAGGTAAGAAATACGTGACTAGGACACTGAGCCCTGAAACCAGGCTCTGATACATGCTTGTTCTACAGGATGAGGTGCTGTGGCTATGCCCAGGGACCCCAAGCCCCAGTTGCTGCTGGATCACAGTGAGGATCCTCATCAGGGTAGAACACGGGCACTGAACGTTTATGATAATTCTGAAGCCGTGAGAGCAATTTTTCCACCACATGAGGATGTTTTTCAGACAAATCATTTTTCTCTTCAGGATCATGAACAATATCAAATAACCAAAGTCTCTTTGTTGGTGGATCAGATGATTGAATCTTTGACTCATTGAACAAAGACGGTGGAGGGAACCAATGACTGCAGCCTGCAGAAAGAAGAGCAGACCAGGGGTTAATTCTCAGATACAGTGCAGCAGTATGGAGACATTGAGTTACACTGCAATCAATGAATTCACTAGGTCTGTTGACAAGCCACTGGACAGTGACTGTTGCTGCATTCCTTAGCTCCATCGTAGCACCAGAGTATCTCTAGTCCAGGGCTACTTATACAGGAGTCCTATTTATACAAAAAAGCTGCACCATTGGGATTAAAAATTCTATGTCACTTAATTTCATATCAATTAACTTAATGGACTTGCTTCTTGTATTCAATGATCCTTATGGGTCCCTTCCAACTTCAGATATTCTGTGATTTTTTATTGTGAAATTTGTATACATTTGCATACAAAATAATAGCAATATGAAAGAATATGTTGTTTGGATTTTAGAAGAGCCCCTTCTAGACTTTTGCATGTGATCAAAAACCTGAGAAATTAGCAGAATAGCTAAAAGAAATGAACATACATTAAACAGAATTAAACTGTGTTTAGGGCAGGTGAGAGATGTGACACACTGTATAAAAAGGAGTTACTTCATTACCTGGATATCCAGTTAGTAACTTCCATTTTCCATGTCTGATTGCTGCATGCATGGATATATTGAAAAGTGAGTCATCCCACGGAGAAGAATTGCTCTGTGGTAAAGATGTCCTGTTATCAATGCCAAGACCTTAATGAAATAGTAAACTAAGTTAGATACATTGCACGTGCATGAAGTCACTGTTAGAATTCTACTGGAAAACAAAGCAGGATCATCCATTTATTTTTATGTATTCTACGAACAATTTGTTATGTATATGTGAAAACATCTGTGCTATGTTTCACTGGATGTATTTAACTCAACTTGAACTGCACTGCAAAAAGTTATCAGTGGAAAATGGCACATCTTAGTCTGGATTACTGGACTGATTTCATATACATACATTATATCTGTATCTCATATACCTGTATTAGAATCATAGAATCATAGAATGGTTTGAGTTGGAAAGGACCTTAAGATTGTCTAGTTCCAACTCCCCTGCCATGGGCAGAGATGCCTCACACCAGACCTGTCACCGAAGACTCCATCCAACCTGGCCTTGAACACTGCCAGGGATGGAGCATTAACCACTTCTTTGGGCAACCCATTCTAGTGCCTCACCACCCTCACTGTAAAGAACTTCTTCCTTACATCTAACCTGAACTTCTCCTGTCTTAATTTGAACCCATTACCCCTTGTCCTATCACTACAGTCCCTAATGAAGAGTTCCTCCCCAGCATCCTTACAGGCCTCCTTCAGATACTGGAAGGCTGCTATGAGGTCTCCACGCAGCCTTCTCTTCTCCAGGCTGAACAGCCCCAACTTTCTCAGCTTGTCTTTATATGGGAGGTGCTCCAGCCCCATTATCATCCTCGTGGCCTCCTCTGGACTTGCTCCAACAGCTCCATGTCCTTTTTATGTTGAGAACACCAGATCTGTGCACAATACTCTAAGTGAGGTCTCACAAGAGCAGAGTAGAGGGGCAGGGTCACCTCCTTTGACCTGCTGGTCACGCTTCTTTTGATGCAGCCCAGGATACCGTTGGTTTCTGGGCTGTGAGCGCACACTGAAGCCAGCTCATGTTCAGTTTCTCATCAACCACCACCCCCAAGTCCTTCTCCACAGGGCTGCTCTGAATCTCTTCTCTGCCCAGCCTGTAGCTGTGCCTGGGGTTGCTCAAACCCAGGTGTAGGACCTTGCACTTTGCTTTGTTAAACTTCATGAGGTTGGCATGGACCCATTAAGGATATTCATGATCAGAATTGCTAAATTTGCTCATACAAGTGCCTATAATTTTTGCAGGTCAGGAATATAGAATTGAAAGATCTCCTAAATCACTGCTACTACTCTTACTCTATTATATCACTCCAGGGACCAAGTCCCAGCTCTTGATTTGTATATGCATGCAGAGACCTGTCCCTCTGAACTGAGCTGGCTACATTCACACAGATTTGGCCAGCAAAGTACTTCTATGGCATGACACAGCATGAAGCATGTCTTCACACTGTCTTTGGTAGAGTCACATATGATGTAGCCCCAGTTACTGCAAAAAACTCTGAAGTGTCAACTATGTGCAAATACCCTTTCAAAATGAAACCAAAATCTCCTTATAGGAGGGAGCTCAGAAAAAAATTAACATGCATATGCAAGGAGTAATCAGGAGACCAGTTCTGTACTGAAACCAGGAGGGAGTTAGACACCCCAGGAGCATTCAAACAATCTTGCATGTCAGCTTTCATAAACAAGATAGGAGTTTAGGACATAAAATCTAAGAGTTTCATTTCAACTGTATCAGCTGATACCTTTTACCAAAAGACTACCAGAAGGCAACTCTATAATCAGACTAGAAACAAGACATCAAGATGTGAAGAGAAACCAAAGCTGATTCTCTAGCATCTTTCAAGAGATGACTTTTGATCAGCATAAGGACTTTGAAGTACTCAGCTGACAGATTTTTGCCACTTAAATGAAAAAAAATCCATGAGATGTACATTGATCACATGAGATCCAATATTAGAAGCAGGACTAGAGGTTTCTAAAAAGAGTAAAATCTGTACGTTGTAGTGGAGCAAATATATATCTGATGAAAAACAAGAGAGCAATAGAAAGTTTGAAAAGGAATTGCTAGGACACTAACAATTTCTCTATTTTTTTATGATGGCCCTGCTAAGTTTCACTTTTATTAGTGGGATTTGAATTAATTTTTCCTTAATAAGCAATTTTTGTGCATGCCCACGTTTACATCAGACTTGCATAATGTTCCCAGGTAAATAAGGTTATAAAAAGGGACTACTTGTTTAGAGTATGTATACACAGACTGACAAGTACTCATCTTAGATCATGAAGCACTGAAGCTGATGGTAAAAAATCCCAAACTCTTATGAAAGCAATGAAAACTTTATAAATACCCTTAGAAGAATTCTTCTAGAAGCTAAATCTCCCCCACAGCCATGTGATGTCTGTACCAGATATAAAACAGTTTAAAGCTTAATATTGCTTACTTTTCCATATCATTATGTTATCTATTATTCTGTCCTGCTGTTTGTTACTAAGAATACTCATCTTTTCCATCTACTTTCTTAAAGAGAATGGAAGACATTCAGCAGATTAAAAAATACAACTGTATTTTTTAAATATTAGTCTCAAAATTACAATATTAAGGTTTGGTCTAAAGGAAAAATTGCATTTCTGATTTTAAGGTTTCGCACGGAGAATATGCTTCTGATTGCTGAGGTACAGTATGCGAAGCCATACAATTACTCAAGATAAATTAGATAAAATAATTCAAAGAAAGAGTATGGAAGACTGCATTTTCAGATGTACTTTCCAAAATATCCTTAGAATGTCATGCATGAGACTTAAACAAGATTCAAGAAGATAAAATAATTTTAAAAACTATTTATTTGATCCAGGTAACAAAACCAGACTCCTAAACTAAGAAATGCCAGAGCTCATAGTTGAAGTTGTTTGGTAGAATATTATCTTTCAGAAAAATTTATTGAAAAGATAAAGATACATTCCTTCATGTTGAGTTATTACAAACAGAACTCTGTCAGTCATGTTAACTCACCCATTGTAAGCACTTGTCTTATGCCAGAGAAATGTACTGTCTGTTATTCAGACAAGTGTCTTGCTTCCCAGACAGTAGAGGTCAACTTTTATTAGACATACCAGCCATGGAAAACAAATGCTTGTTTGAACGATCTCTACGCAGTATATTTGTAGGACTGACAGTTTATTACAACATATAAGCACCAGATACAGAACTAATTTAAATAAAAATATTGCTTGACAGGAATTCTCTTCTTCCTATCACATGACTTAATCTTGGATATCCCTCCACCTGCACGTATCCCACTTTCTTCTTCTCTTCAACCCAGCAGTTAAATTTCTAGCTCTGTCTTCATTCTTCAACTTCTGGTAGTGCAGGTGAAATGCAAAATGAATGGGCAGATTTCTCCCTCAATGTATGAACTTCACAGCAATTCCTGTTCCAACCTGGTAGACTAAAGAAGTCACATGCTTTTTTATTTTGGTAAAAAAGATAAAACCTTCTTTCCCATAGCATTTAAGCAGTTTTTCTCTGCATTTGTCCTAGATTGTTGTTTTGGGGTGGGTTGGTTTGTTGTTGGTTTTTTTCTTTTTGTTTGGATGGTGTTCTGTTTTGGTTTGGTTTTGTTGGTTTTTGAGGAATTATTTTGTGTTTTATTTTGGTTTTGGGGTTTTTTTCTCCCCCAGTATGGTTGGCCAGGCAGTAACAACAGTGCTGTGGACTAATCCAGCAGATGCCTTTTATTGGTCTGTGTAATCAAGTCTGCCTTCACAAGCCTGCATACCCTCCTTATAGACCTATATCTAAAATATTTGATAATTTTACCTGTGCAAAGAGGCTAGACATTTGATTTTTCTGCTCTTTGATCACCTGTGTATCAGTGGCTGGTGAAATACTAAAGCTTTGTTTTTACCTTAAAAGAAAAATCCCACAGCCTTTGTCATAAATATTCTTGTTTTCAAACTGAAGCCACTGTTTCCTGAAGTCCAACTTCAGAGCCTCACCAGCTGCTATATTTCTTTTTAAGCAGTCTCTTGGGAAACGGTACAACTTTAATACTTTAACAAAGCAGTGAAATTTCATGCAGATACTTATTTTCAAATATTTAATGCTACAATGAATAGATTTAAATATTTTAAAGTTTTGTTTGGCATTGTAGGTCTCTAAAAAATATTCACATAGCTTTTATATCTCTCTAGGAAAAAAAAAAAGTCCTTCAGAAATATTGCCTTTGGCAAGTGACTATGGAGTTTATATCATATTTGAAGAACATCCTTAGTCTTGACAGCCTGAAAAATGGTTTCAGGATCAGATTTTAAAAGGAATTGAGGTGGCCAACTCCCACTACCCACAAGAGAGTTTATTATGTAAATACTTTAAAAGCCTGGCCCTTTGCCCCTTATAAAAACTTCAGCTTAATTCTTTCATTTTCATTGTCCTACATAGTTTTTATAAACAGATACGTATTCCAAATTAGGATGTAAAAGCCTAAATAATTTTCAATAGCTAATTTGTTTCTTTAACAGACCTGATTTTTCAGAAGGCAAATGTCATCAACTCTGAAAAAATCTGTGCTAAATGCTCAGAAAGCATTAGGTAAAAATGTTAGCTGCATTTGCAAAAATAATTACCATTCTGATAATTTGAATATTTCATAGCATATTTTTCAGGCAGGATGTTGAGAAATTTAATACTGGATAAGTATGTAAATAATATCCTGAATAATGACCAGAGAATATATGGGACTTCTTAGAAAAGTGAACAATCTTTCAGTACATTAAGTCTTGCTAATGCACAAATGTAAGTACAACAAAAAGGAAAGTAAGGATCATGGGGAAAAAAAGCCAATCCTAACTCTGCATACACAAAAGAGTGTGCTCTGAACAAGCTATTGCTATTTAGGGAAGAATTTATGAAGTTGTAATGAACAAGTAATGTCCAGTAGAATTTAAGAAAAGCAAAACCAGTTTTCAAAACCAGTTTTAGAAATGGCAAACTATGGGCCACTACGCCATCAGTTAGGACCTTGTTGTGCCTCACAAGGGATACTGTGCAGTTACATGTGGTAACATGTTCAATAACATGTCATCCCCATGTT